AGCTGTAGATTCCAACGCACATGCTCTTTTCACCACGAGGATGACATGAGAGCTGTGTCGTCCGCAAAAAGAGCCAGGGTCGTATTGGACGTCCTTGGAATGTCACTGGTAAAGATGTTGTGTAGCATCGGAGAGCGTACCGCTCCTTGCGGCACTCCAACTTCTGTGCTTCTGTCCTCTGACTGTAGTTCCCAACTTTTACGCTGAATGTCCTTCTGCTAATGTAACTGTCGATTAACTGGCACATTTTCTCACTAATAACTGTTTTCATCATTTTATAGATGAGTCCCTTTCTCCACACTCTGTCGAAAGCTCTTTCGACGTCCAGAGCTAGGATGTCGGTTGTCATCTCCTGGTTCATCTCCTTGGCGCACTTTTCCACGTTCCTGAGCAGCTGAAGTTCAGTGGAGTGTTTACCACGGAACCCAAACTGCTCTGGCGGCAGAACGTCAAACTCACTCTTTTCCCTCGTGAGCCTCCGCAAGATAACTTTTTCCGCTATCTTGCTAAGGCCGGACAACAGACTGATGGGCCTGTAGTTCTGAGGGAAAGTCCGGTTCTTATTGGGCTTCGGGAGCATAATGATGTCTGAGTGTTTCCAGATGCGTGGGACGTCTCCAGTTCTGAAAATGGCATTAATTAGATTCGTGACAGCTACCAGTCCTTTTCTCGGCAGGCTCTTGAGCATTTTCGTTGTAATTCCATCTCTCCCAGGGGCTTTCCTCGTCTTCGAGTGCCTGATGATGGCTGCCACTTCTCCTGGTGAGGTTGGAGGGATACAGATGTCCGCTGTCTTTGCTCGGAGGTTCCGAACGGCCCTTCTGACGATTATCTCGTGCCCGTCTTCTTCGTCTGGATGGTTGTTTTCCCTGGCCTCGCTCTCGATGGTATCTGAAAAAACTTCAGCTTTATCCTTGTTAGTGTATACCAGACCTTGCAATCCGTGTAAGGCTGGTATCTTGGTGTCTTCTTGTCTGAGGGCCTTTTGCACTATCCAAATGCTTTCGTCTCCCTGATGCGTCCCTCCCATCTCTGGTTTCGGTGGTCCCTAAGGGACCCCTTCAGAATCTGTTCCTGTCGGTTGAGGGCAATTCTGTTGGCCTCTGTGGGCCAATTTAAGGAGCCTTCAAAACTAAATAGCCCAAGAATATTTGAACCTACCCTTCTGCTCCAAACGTTAAACCCAAATTTAATTTGTGGTCTCCTTTGCTCAACGTGGTGGGAATTTGTTTGGGTGGAACTTTTCTATTATAGACTTGCTACATCCAATTTCGAAATAAGGGAACGCTAACGCTTAAAACGTATCTGCTCCTGATATTCGCTCGCTATCTCCTTCAACATTCAACTTTGCTAGTAGAGAGGTACCTACAGCGAATTACGCATTTTTTATAAAAAAGCCATTTTTAAAACAATTTATTTTCCAGTTATTTTACAGCATCTGATAGACAAACTATTTTTAGATGTTGTGTAGCAAGCAAAGTTAAATTAGCTAACGCCGACTCATGTAGTTAAATTAAGTTTCAAATACTCAAACATTTACACTCAAAAATAAAAAAGAATTACAATGCTAATGTTTTTCTGAACAAGTTCTTAAAACACCTAAGTGTTTTTCAACTCGATATTTTCGCCTTCAAACATTGAATTGAATCCAGTGGCGCCAACAAAATTTGATTTGTTGAGGTTCGCAGTTATATCTAGTTATAGTAAAAGTGTTGCGCCTATGAAATGCGATAAGCGAATATATTGTTCCTAAAGAAATGTAAATTAATGACCCCAGTTAATCTTTTCTCAAAGTATCTGTTCAGATAGCTATTTTGTCATCAATTTTTTAAACTCTAAATCAGATAAGTTGATTCAGTGTACTGCAAAGGTTCCAATTGAAAAACCAGCTAGTTCAGTTATTAGATATGGCTGCTAAACGATTACTCGATTTACCGAAAGACGAACAGCTCAATTTTTTTAATTCTTTTGATACAGTACTTTGTGATGTAGATGGTAAGTAGAAAGCAGAGAATATTACGAAATGCATTCAAGTATACAGTACAGAAAGGGTCTGACAACCTATTTAATTAAACAGGATTAACGTGTAATAATATTGTGATCATTTAAAAACAGCATCCAAAAGCGAAACTAACTAACGCAAATAAATTCATAAATTTGCAATCATTTTTCATCAGTTGAACTGAATGTGAATTTGTTCTTATGTAAGACTCATGTTTTAATGAAATGTGAAATTGAGTTCTGCCGTTTTGGACAAGCGGTGAGTTCGTGAGTGTCGTGGTACAAAAACTACCAGAACTTTTTATTTGGTGGATGGAATCAACTCATTTTTTTTGGTTGATGCACTAATCACTTATTCACAATTTTGTGCTCTTTGTAAAATCTTATCACATGTTCTTGCGAAGAAAACTATTTCCGTTTTTTGCCACTTAACAATGTTAGACATTAACTGCAGTATCCTTTTGATAATGTGCTTACGGGACACCCTGTATATTAATCATCTCGTCCATCAAATTAAAATTTGTTAAAATTTACCGAAATTAAAACGAATGTTTTAGTTGACTTTATACAGGGTGATCTAAAATTGGCATCACTCCTCTTAAAAATTTGGTAACGAGGGAGTGCAGAAAAAATAATTTGCTGTAAAAAGTCCACTCACTCACAGTTTAACATTCATGAATTACAAGAAATTTTTAATCTGCATGGGTAGAAACACAAAGTGAGCAAAGTTGCCGAAACAGCGACTTTTATTAGACACAGAGTTCCTTAATACGAGTAAGTTCGAGTCCATCGAAGTAAGAACATCGGCGCGAAAACTTTAAGTGGTTTTCTAATCATGTGGTTAATACTTGTTTATATCAAACTCGGCCCGTTTTTAATCGCTTATCGTTCAGCAATCAGTGTCTTCAGTCGTAGACGCTAATGCTTTCTTCGACAACTTAACTTCCTCAGAAGGCACAATTTGCTTGTACTAAATAACCCACCGTAGGTTCGGGCGTATTTCATATAGCAATTATTATCCATTTTGTGATTGCTGTTTTAAGTTCTGAAAAGCGCAATTTAAAAACTAACCTCAAATACGCTTTAAAAAAGCATTTTTCGTCAAACAACTATCGAAAGCGAAGGTTCAAAAAAATGTTCGCAATGTTTAGCTACATTATTAGTTTGCCCAATCTCCGGCAACCCATCAAGATGAATTAAGCCGATTCTGAATCACTCTGTACATGCACGTATGTATAATTATCACTAAAATGATCAGGCTTTATAGAAAATTGTCAGCAATTTCAACATTTAGTCATGTCGTTTTTGGAATTTTAGGTGTATTGTGGCTGCTAATCGGGCAGATAATAGAAAGATCACCCGATGGTATTTTAGCTCTCCGAAAGTTGGGCAAAAAGTTTTATTTTATCACCAACAATTCCTTGACGCCCATGGATTTGTATTTGCAGAAAATGAAAGATTTTGAAATTGCCAAGGAAGAAGTGATAAGGTAATTGAAAAACATAAAAAATCATTTTGGAGCAAGAAGTTTCGAAAATAAAAAGCTTTTGACTCATTACCTCTTGATAACTTTTCAACAATCATATTTCTTGTTTTGTACTTGTAAAAATAAACTGTTTTACTGTTATTTGTTTTGTTGCAATTTTTTTTTATTTATTTATTAATATTATTTACTAAAACTAGTCAAGCATGACCAACCATCAGTTTGATCTGTAATCTTAAACTTAAGGTAGTTAACTAAGTCAGTCCATTGACTTTCCAAGTTTTAGCCTCACAGAAGATTGATAATATTTACACGCACACCATGCTCTGCCCTTAAAACGTAGAACGTATTGTAGAACAATAAAGATATAAATCTCTTAATCACGAATGCAAACTCGCTCATCATTGAACCAATATTATAAGCAAAATAATACGCAAATAACTATAATAAGCACAAACATGTTTTCTAGAGAACGTTTTCATTTCCTGTCGGTTTGTCAGTATAATATTTATACCATCTGCACTTTTAAAAGGGTTCAAAATCCAAAATAAGAAAATTTATTATTCTGGACCGTATTTAAGGAGTACAAAGAAAAAGCAAGGAAAAATAAATATTTGTCTTAGCTTAAGCAAGGTAATAATAGAATACGCTCTTAATGAATCACTATATCAAATTTAATGTTTCAAATTATGTGGGATATTTAGTAACTTTTTATTTAAATTGTTACTCTCATGAATTAAACTTGTCTAGTTTTTCCACTTCATTTGAAAATTTCTGTTATTGAATATTTATTAATTTCTTGTTTATGTGTTTTACGGTATTCCTTTCTATTAAATATTGTTAAAGTTTTCAAATTAGCATTACATTATTACTAGTCTTATTGAAAAATGTATAAATAATTTAAGCAATTTTCTATCAAAACTACTGCGATACAATGTTGTAGTTACGTGGCAAATTTCAAAACTTTGTGACTAAAAACATAGCAGAAATTTCGCTGAATTCCTGAAAAACTATCCAATTTGGGTTGAAAATGTATGTAATAAAAAATTTTTGAAATTTACATAAGAATGAAAAAATCAAATAAAATTAACTCTGGAACTTTCCTGACGCACTTTGTATTTTTTTAAATATGCCCTTTTATAGTACCTACCTTTAAAATAAAATGAGAATTTTGAAACACATAATACCGGTTAAGCGTAAATTTACTTTACTATATCGTTGGGACACCCTGTACATGTGCTTTTTAACTATTCGATTGAAAAATTTGGACTTTTTGCTTAAAAAAGCACTTGTTCAAGATTTCGAGTTTTAGGGAGAATCTCAATTTTCAATACACAATTCATTTTTTCACATTTCAATTTATAATAGAGTATTTTCAATTCCCCAGTGCACCAACAGAAATCGATTTGCCTGCATGGAGCAACAAAGTGATGCTAAATGTAATGTCGGCAACTATGATTGAGCAAAAACTATTTTTTTGAATTAGGAAGTTTAAACAATTAATTTTCCTGTTATTTAATTTAGAGATCCACTATTTCAAAGCATTTAAAGAAGAAACGCTCAAAATTCAATTACCCTGTATGTTAATTTTTTTACGAAAAGTTAAATGAAACAAATGCGTTGTCACAAAGATCTTTTAATATTTAAGAACATTTTGTAGATAAATCTCTATAATTTGATTTGAACTTTGCATTTATGGAATAAATTTAAAAATATTATATGCGAAAGCTGGTGAAAAAAAACAGAGTTAAACAAATGTTTGTTCGTTGTTGTTTTAGACCTGTAGTTGCCCTGACTTGGTACTTGAAGCAATTAAACTTTGACCAAGAAATTTATGTAGCGGGCTCAACTACCATCAAAAAAGAATTATCCGATGCCGGATTCAAAGTAGCTTATGACGAGGTAGGTTCACCTAAATACCCTCCCTTGAGCTATTACTCACAAACTATTTTCAGGTTTCTCCTGTATGTGAAGGAAATGTGCCCAATCTTTTAAAACTATTATCCGACTTACGGCCCGATGTTAAGGCGGTTTATATAGATTTTGGATTTAATATCGACTTTATGATCCTGCAAAAGTGTATTGCTTACATCATGAAAAACCAGGCCCTTTTTATAGTGGGAATGTTGGATCCTGTTGTGTTTTTTAGCGAATTTCATTTAATAGGTTTTCACAACAACCGCATTTGATAAATATCTATCGTGTTACAAAACTGACTTTCAGGCGCCAAAAAATTCGCTAAAATAATCGAAGAAATCACAGGGGTAGAGCCTAAACTGATGTCAAAAGGTGGCAAAGAGTTTGCACAAGTTCTAAAGGACAATTTGGGGCCGTTTGATGCAAAACGCACGTTATTCATCGGCGACTCGTAAGCATTCGCCAGTTTGGAAACTACGGTGAAAAGTAAATTGGAATGTTTTCAGTTGTGTAACAGATATGCCATTTGCAACCGAAAATGGATTTCAAAAACTGATGCCACTGACTGGATTGACGCGAGAAGAAGACCTGAAGAACTGGAAATTCGACGAACGAATTAAGCCAGATTATGTGGTTGATAATGTTGGCGATCTGAGCACAATTATTGCGAATTTAGATCTAAACAAACTATAACACAACGTTTAAGTGGTGTAGGAAATGGCATCAAAAAGTATTTTCCACATTTTTAATAAGGACCGAGTGACTTAAAAATACAGCAAGCATTTCTGTCTAACGTTTCGCTTGCATCTGCAGCAGACAATTTCATAAGCGGTTGTAAGGTGGCCGCATTACGCAATAAATTCTATAAACTTTCCGCTGCAGACATTTTTTTGTTGGTTTGAACAACGTTTCTATTTAGGTCCTTTGGAGCAGTTTTCATTATAAAATATGGAACTAATAATTACTATTTTATTTCAAATTTCTTTCTTTCAAAGATCTATTGCAATTAATAAAGTGAAGTTGTTGGAATTAATTCGCTGTCTGATTAATAAAACTTAGGGCGTGTGTTGTACCTTGGGACAAAGGTGGTACGCGCGCCATTTTTTCCCGTAGAGCGAAAATGTTCGAATATACAGGGTGATTCAAAATTGGCGTCATTCCTCTCGAGGTGTTGTCTGGGGCTGTTATAGGAGTACAGAAAATATAGTAAAATAAATTAATTGTTATTAAAAACTGAGAAATTTGCAAAAAACTATATCAGAAATATGGCAGCAATGTTTTTCAAGGTAATTTGCGTAATTAACATTGCGCAAATACCTGTTGCTTCGTAATTATTTAAAACTCCGGTAACCATGGAATTATACAGAGTGGCAATAAGATAGACAAGGATAAACGGTAAATTCAAAAAGATTTGTTGCCGAAATGTCAACCTGTTCTCATAACCTCGAATTCTGCGGGGTTTTGTGTTTACATAACTAGTCCATACAACACCAAACACTTGAATGGTTAACCCCAAACAAGCTAGTGCCTGTGTAATATCCTTATTATCCACTCTTATCAAGCAGCTTCTCGTATTCAGTTAATTAACTCCTACTCCATTTGTATCTCCTTGTGCTGTGTGTATCGTACAAACGTGGTAGGAATGTAGCCCTTCCTTGGTATTTATTTGGTGCTTGGGAAAGTGTCAGTTATTGTGCTCTGAGTGCCCCTGGAAGGCTCTGCTGCAATTATGTCCAATATTTGTTTTTCCATGTATGTCCAATTTTTCCATGTATGGCACTCAGAGCAAAATAACTGACACTTTCCCAAGCACCAAATAAATACCGAAGAAGGGATACATTCCTACCCTGTTTGTACGATACACACAGGACAAGGAGATACAAATGGAGCAGGAGTTAATTAACTGAATACGAGAAGCTGCTCGATAAGAGTGGATAATACGGAGATTACACATTATTACACAAGCATTAGTTTGTTTGGAGTTAACCATTCAAATGTTTGGTGTTGTATGGATTATTTATGTAAACACCAAACCCCGCAGAATTCGAGGTTATGAGAACAGGTTGACAT